TAATAAGAAATAATAGATAAATAATAAATTAATAAATAATAACTAATAAATGAATAAATATAAATAATAAATAATAAGAATATAATGAAATAATAATAAATAATAAATAATAATCAAATACATCTAAATCAATACTAGTCAACTATAAATAATTAATAAATCAATAATACCATAAATACTACACTATAAATAATAAAGTAAATAATAAATAATACTCACTAAATAATAAATAAATACTCCATACCTACACCTCCTAATAATCCTAAATAAATATCAAATAAATAAGAAATCCCTACTCCTCCCTCCCTCTAATACTAATAATAATAATCAAATAATAATAAATATAATAACTAAATAATCCAATCCTCCTAATACCTATAAATCCCTCATAAATACCTCCTACTAATCCCTCCTACCATAAATCATCACTAAATAATCCTCCTCATCCAAATCCAATCCTAACATCACCTCCATCCCTCCCTCCTCCCTCCCTATCCTCCCTCCTCCTCCTCCTCCTCCTCCCTCCTCTCCCTCCTCCCCTCTACCTCCCTCCTCCCTCCTCCTCTCATCCCTCCTCCCTCCCTATCCCTCCCTCCTCCCTCCTCCCTAATCCCTCTCCTCCTCCCTCCCTCCTCCTCCTCCCTAACTCTACCTCCCTCCTCCCATCCCTCATCCTCCCTAATCCCTCCCTCCTCCCTCCCTAATAAATCCCTCCTATAATAAATCTAATAAATCATACAAATAAATATATATAATATTCACTTTAGGAATCGAAAAATTGCAAATTTGTGTGATAAAGATTAGATTTCTTAGCTTTTGCTTGCCTAATGGGATTAAAGAAGATCGCCTGATCGGCTTAATTACGGCAGAGGGGTACTTAATATTTCGAAATAATAAACTTTAATAAATCAACACTCTCAGGAAAACGATGTTTAAGTCTGACGATCTACACTATATCTATACTAATATTATAAAGAGGAAAGATTTTATTGTTTGTGATAAATATAAATATTTTTTTAAACTAAGTATATCATTGACTTTATTAGTTTCAACTTTTAACTCATTGATTCCCTCAAGTAATTTTAACCTTAAATGTAGACAAGCAAGTGTTCTGCAGCACTACATTAATTTTTTTATAACTTGACTGCATCCCTATATTCTAAGAACTATTCTTAGATTCTATCATTTTAACAAATTCAAAAGAATTGATTTTTTCATGCAAGGCTCTAGGTCTGCTGTTTGCATTTTTTCACAGGCTATGTATATTTTAAAATAAAAAAAATAAATCACAATAAGTGCAGCCGCGCTGTAATGAGATTAAGCGAAAGATTATTTTGATTATGTGTAACATTTATAATTTCCATGAAATGATTGGATTGGGTTTCATATCAAAAAATGATTTTATGCAGGTGTTAATACTGAACTCAGTCTCAGTAGTGCCGGCCATGGCAGCCGCCTTTTTTGTTTTTGTTTTCGATTTACGCAAATGCGATCGAATTGGCCGGGGAAAACGGAAAAGTGATCACCCAGAGCGCCCCACATATGAGCCTTGATGTGTGTTGGCCATGGCCGGGCAGCTGCGGCCGATCATCAAATGGAGAGAAATAAGCTGGTCAGCCGAAATTCAGCAGCGACTAGAGGTTAAACGGGCAAAGTTCAAGGCATTGGTACGTGTGTGTGTGGCAAGTTGTGCGATTGTTGCATTCAACATTAAGTTGCAGATGCATCTGGGCATCTTGGCATCTCAGCAGTTGGCAGTTGGCAGCTGCGCAGTAGCCGGGCCGTGGCTTCTCTGCGTGTCTGCCAAATATCTGACCACTCATCTGATCAATGGCCACTGTGGTTGCTTTTTTGTTTCTCTTTTTCTTCTTCTTTTTTTGGGTTCGACTTCCACTTCCATGCGATGTCATCGCATTGGACGCCCGCGTTCAGGTTCAGTTATCGGTGTGTGTGTTTGTGAGTGTTTGTGAGTGCATCACGGTTCAATGTCCATTTATCTGCTGATGGAAAACTGTTGGCTTCCTCACGTGCCACTTGGAAATTACCGTTTGGATTTCCTGCCAATTCGTTCGAGTTTCTTCAATAATTACTGAGCCTGGACTAACACTTTTTTGCCAAGAGAAACCAATCAGTCTGCTATTCTACAAATAATAATTTCTTGCAATAAATATTTTATTTTCTTAGCTGCTACAATGGAAGAGTCGAATTTATTTTCAATGGATTGTCATTTTAGTATTTAAATTACATCTAATTTAATTTACATTAAATCTGCATTTTTTTAAGAAATTGAAACAAAGTGGTCTAAATATGTGCGAGCTTATATAAATATTTGTTGTTGTCTTTTTATTTATTTATTAATATCACTATCACTTTTTGGCAAGAGAAACAAGTCAGTTATAGTGCTATTTTAGAAATAATAATTTCTTTGAATAAATATTTTATTTTCTTAGTTGCTACAATGGAAGAGTCGAATTTATTTTGAATGGATTGTCATTTTAGTATTTAGTGCAAATTTAATTTAATTTACATTTAGTTAGAATATTTTAAAGAATTTAAAACAAAGATGTCTAAATATGTGCCTTCAGTTTATATAAGTATTTGTTTTTGTCTTTTTATTTATTTATATTTTATTAATCACTTTTAGTTTTATCTAAGAAAATTATATGCTTTGTGGCTAGTACATTAATTTATAAGAAATCTTCTTGTCGCACTAGGAATTAATAAACAAATAAATCAATAAAATAAAATAAAATGTATTCATATTCATGTCCACAAACCTTGACTGTCGTCATAGGAGTACAATATATAAAAATTATAAAAAGCATCTTTTAAGCTGAAAAGCCTAAGTAGGACAAGTCTAATCCAATTACAAAAATATCTTATTACGGTCTCCAACTCGTTGGGGGAATATTATTTGGCTTAGCAAAGCTATGGAATATTTATATTCATAAGCCGCAGTACACATATCGATCGGACCACATTTATGTTGGTTTTGTTCTGCGCGGGCTTGGTTCAATATATATATATATATAAATATATATATAGAGTGTCGCCCGAAGCTGTCATCAATCACTTTGTGAAAGCAATTAAGTTCGAAATCGTGTTAAGCACTTCTAAAACCCTACTTACAAGGCTAAAGCTAAAAGGCGGCAACCAGCCAAGCTGCCATAAGCCACAGGTGCCAAAAGTGGCCCAACAACAACAACAACAACGACGGCCGCAGACAAGAAGCTTGAACGACAACTATAAGCAATTAAAGTCACAAAAAATGTCACCAGCGATAAATTGTTTAAGTGCGTTCCATGAAAGTTGTCAAAAATGGGTGGAAAAAAAAGCAATAGTGTTGGAAATATTTTCACCGCACGGCAGCAGTACCAGTACCAGCAGCAGCAGCAGCAGCAGTAACAGCTTCTCTACTGCGACAAAAACCTAACGCAATATTAAAAGCACACAGCTTTGGATGTTTATCAATCACCTAAGCCTCTGCCTCTGCTTCTGCCTCTGGCTCCATCGGCGTCCATGCGTGCCAAAGCCCGAGGTGTGGCGCGCTGCCCACGATCTTGGACATGGACTCGATGGCTGCGGTGATGGCGACACGCAATAAGCTAACGGCCAGAGCCACACATGGCAGCCAACAGGCAGAGACGGCTTAGCCGACGACGACACTGTCTGATAGCCGCGCGATAAGCAACATTACCGAACAATTTTCAATTAACACGAAAAAGCTGTGAACACCAGACAAAGACGCTGTGGGGCTGGGGACGCAGGATAGCCACACATTCCGTATAATTTTTTCTATTTTTCTCCATTTTTTTTTGGTGGCCAGTTTGCCACCAAAGTGGCGCTCAGCTCGGCTCATCTACAAATTGTCTAATCTTGTGTTCGTTCGTTTCACTGATCTATGGGTAGCCGTTAGTGTCGTCGGCAGTGAAAAGTTGTCGACCTGCCCGTACAAAATGAATTACAAAAACAAAAAAGCTAGAGGAATAAAAATCGACAACATCCAACCGGCCACGCTCGACAATTTATCATTTTTTTCTGCTGCTGCTGCTGCTGGCCGATCGTCAGTGCGAGCATAAAACCTTCTTTATGCCCGCTTCCTGATGATCGCCTTTTGGCCAATTTGTTGTTGCCTGCTTGCTTCGTTGCTGTTGTTGGGTCAAATGGAGTCAGGCTTTCCGTTCGTTTTGTTTTCGCACAAATCTAACATTTTATGGTAGCTCCCATTTGCCCATACACCTTGACAGTTTTGCATTACGAGCTGTGTCTTGTGCTGTGCGTTTTATGGCCAAATTGATTTAAGGCTCGAACATTGGCTGTTGGACATTTAAAAGTGTGTTATGTAAGGGGCGAGCAGAGACACACGTCCAAACAGTAGCTGCAAAGAGGGCGCAGCGAAAACTGTAGTTTCAGTTATTTATGTCACTAAACGGCAGACTTTTGAACGAAGCTATGGTCAGACAAGCAAATAATTTGCACACAAATCTGTGTTAATTCCTCTGTGTGAGAATTTAAAAAGTAATTTGCAAAGAATATTGTACGTCTGATCATAACTTAAGGCGTAATTACAATTCCAGTCCAATCAATTGGCATTCCCTTATAACTTTATCCTTCCTAAATTTATGTTTAGTTGCAAAAATTAGTTAATTAATTAAATTCCAAAAAGTAAAATAAACTCGTATAGTATAGGGACTAGGAGCGTCTGCATACCAAGTTTGGTTTATGTACGCTCAGCCGTTTCCGAAATCCAGGCGTTCATCCAGACAGACGGACGGACGGACATGTCTAGATCGATTTCTCTCGTCATGCTGATTCAGAATATATAACTTTATGGGGTCGGGTGCCTGTTACATACTTTGCACAAACCTATTATACCCTTTTTTCCCTACGGATACAGGGTATACTTTGTTCATTTAAATGCCTCTACTGCCCCCCAAATAAACAGCTTCTACAAACTAACCTAAATCACACAATCTATTTCAATAAAGTCAAAGAAAAATCCCTTCCTTTTGTGGTAACGAACTCAAAATTATCAGTAGAAAAAAAAAAAAATGGCAGGGCTTCTAAAAACTGCTATGGCCAGTCAACTTCTGGTCCATCTACAAAGCGGTCCAATGTGTTCCGTAAATGAGGCACAACCGGCCGTAGCGATCGGCCAGTTGCGGAGTTACAGCAAATGCGAAAAGAAGTGTCCCGGCGAGGAGCAGAAGAAGGGCAAGTATCAGATTGTGATGATACGACACGGCGAGTCTGAATGGAATCAGAAGAACCTATTTTGTGGCTGGTTCGATGCTGCTCTCAGCGACAAAGGCAAGCAGGAAGCCTGCGCTGCGGGCAACGCTGTGAAGGATGCTAAAATGAAGTTCGACGTGGCCTTCACTTCGATGCTGACACGTGCCCAGGAGACGTTGCTCGCCGTGCTCGAGGCGAGCGAACATGGAGAGATACCCATACATAAGACCTGGCGCCTCAACGAGCGCCACTACGGTAGTCTGACGGGTCTAAACAAGGCCGAAACGGCCAAGAAGTTCGGGGAGGAGAAGGTGAAAGTTTGGCGACGCAGCTTCGACACGCCCCCACCGCCCATGGAGAAGGACCACAAATACTATGACGCCATTGTGAACGATCCTCGATATTGCGATGGTCCCAAGCCCGAGGAGTTTCCCATGTTCGAGTCCCTCAAGCTGACCATCGAACGCACCCTTCCCTACTGGAATGAAGTCATTGTCAAGCAGATCAAGGAGGGCATGAAGGTGATTGTGGCGGCTCACGGCAACAGTTTGCGCGGCATTGTGAAACATTTGGACCAGATGTCCAATGAGGCCATAATGGGCCTTAATCTACCCACAGGAATTCCCTTTGTCTACGAACTAGATGAGTGTATAAAGCCTGTGGCGCCAATGAGATTTCTGGGCGATCCGGAGACGGTCAAAAAAGCTATGGAGTCGGTGGCGAAACAGGGCAAGGCTAAGTAAGGAGAGTTCTCTACCACGCCGCTAATGATTTATTTTGATTAACTGTTTTAAATAAGAATACTGTGCTGCATAAATAAAAATTCTGCTCTAGATGGAAATTTGTTGAAATGGTTATTAAGCAGTTCGTAACGGACTCAACGAAACATATTTGATGAATAGCACGAAATTAATGTATTTAATCCTATCTGTCTGTTCAGATGTTTGTCTGTATGAACATCGATAAAATTTGATTCATAGGAGCTGGGCTTCCCAAATTTGGCATGTAAGGAGGAGCCAGTTTACTGTAGTCATACTTAGCGTCATTCCTTTATAAAGCTGTCATAGGAACGAAAGGAGCAAAAATCTTAATCTAAAAAAAATCTAAATCTCTCTACAATATAGCTATGAAATATTACATTCATAAGCTTTTTATAATGGCTTTCTTTATACGAAAGTTTTATTCAACCCGATGCCAAATATATTATAGATCGGTGTAAAACATATACCTCAACATTATTGTTGTTCATTACGATCCTGTTTTTATTTGACTAAAGTTTAAACATCTATGGGACCTGGCATAGCTTAATGAGCTAGCAGGAATCCCACAATGTGATTTCCTTCCTTGAGTTGAATAAAGATTTAAAAAAAAAACACATATATAGTTTTTTTAACAATGTCTCTATTTTTCTATTGTTAACGAACATAAATCGGATTAGCTTTTCTTTAGTTTGAATATATGTATAGAAGTTAAATTTTGCAGGCAATTAAATTCAATTATAAGTTTATTTTATTTGAATAGTTTAACGTTAAAGTCAATAGAGTCGAAATTATGGAAGCGATTATTATAACTAATCTATATGTAGATTCTGCATCGAGATTGAATTATATTCTGCCAGAGTCTGAATGTCTGATAATTTAAATTTGTATTGCAAGAGCCTACAATTAGCTGGGTACTACCTCAACCCTGTTGAGCGATATATAGTATGTAGTATTTGTGTGAGTAAGAAGAACGCTGGAACTAATTGCTGATCAATGGCAAAGGTTCTTCCGCCCAACACAGTCGCAACCAAATAAATTGCCGTAAACAGAACAAGAAGGTCAAAATAATATTCCTCAATGCACTTGCATGCCAAACAGAGCTCTGGTGAGTGTAAAACAGTGCCCGAATCAGTGAACGAACGGGCCGCGAATGTCAAGCAGCAAATAAATTTATTTGATTTTAATTGACAATAAAGAGTCAACAAAGACAATGCCAGCCAGCCAGCCAGCCAGCCAGCCAGCCAGACAGCTAGTCAGTCAACAAGAGAATGAAAACGAAAAATATTTAATAATATTTACAGCAATGCTGGCTGCACTGCGAGTACTCGTAATGCACATGTTCTTAAAGAAATCAGAAATCAGAGCCGCAACTCTGCACTCAACCACTGAACCGCTCAACCGCTGAACCACTCACCATTCAACCCGGCCAGGGTGCGTCAATTTTAATTGCGGCCCATGGGCCCGGGTCCAGTTAAATGCGTTCTCCGCTGGTATTTCGAGCGCGACATTCAAATGGGTCGAATTTTAATTTGTTTAAATGAAATACTCATTTAGGTTTTATTGACAAACAAATTGAATTGATTGATTTAAATGAATTTATGTGGTCAGCGACAGTCAGAGTCATCGGCGAACGCGTCTCTAACAAATCCCATCCCGTCGACCAGTCACGAGTTTCGCGTGTTCCGTCACATGTTTTCGCATTATTAGCCAGCTAGAGGTGGAACTGGTCGGCTGGTGATTTCGCCAAACGAGGAAATGCCAGATTCTCCATGGCCTTTTCACAACTGTGAACGCATCAAAGGCGAGCAAGCGTATTGGGAGCGTGCAGGGCGTCAGCATCCTACAAACCTACAAAGTACACTGTGCAACATATTTTACATCCTCATTAAAAAAAAAACTCATCAAATTGTAATTGTTTTAAGAAAAATTACATTGAAAATAGGCTTTAGGCAGTTCGCCTAAGTTGAACTTTTCTTTTAAAAAGTAAAAAGACTTTTAAATAAAAAAGACTTTCTTAAATTATTTTCCCTGCATAAATTATATGTTTAAGTTAGTTTTCTATAAAATGCAGAGCCTTACAAAATTATCAATATATTTTGTTAGTTTATGGAATATATGTAATGTTTCTATTAATGCTCTAATTCGGTTTCAAACATTTTTTTTTATCAACACAAGCTTAGCTGATTATTCAAATTATTATTATCTTAATAAATTTTCTAAAACTATGTTGATTTGAGTTCTGGAACGAAGCAAAAAAGTTCTTAAATTTTTCCCATTCCCAGCCGCGTCTTTCTCTTCTCAGCTGCATTTAAAATAATTAGCAATTGGTAATATATATCCCTAATCCCTAATATAGCTGACTAATTTGATGCTCCTTTTCGAACTGTCTTCTTTACACAGTTATTTAATTCTTATATTTATATTATCTCTAATTCCACACTTATCTGCTAAATCTATAAGCTGTAACTAACTATTTGCAAACCTATAACTAACTATTTGAAAATGTACGATTAACGTCGAGAATAAGCTCGACTTCTTTAAATATTGTATAGTATAGTATGTTCATGACTCTATCCCTTGGATATTTTTGTGCTTTAGGTAGTTAAATAAAAGTCATTAGTATCTAGTTTCGAACTGAATAATTACACATTTTGATTCGGTATCTTCATAAATGTACAAATGAGGGCAGCTGATTGATGAATTCTTTCTTTAATGAACGTACAGATATTCAGATTTATGCTTAAATTACTATTATTTTCTTAATATGATTTATTATGCATTTAATATTGTTTTGATTTAATAAAAGTTGATTCTTTTATCTCAAACCCTTAAGTCTCATTTTACAACACACAAATAAATAAAAATGGGTTATCACGCATCCTCTATGAGGTCTACTTCTCTTAGAAATATAAGATCTTGCAATGGAACTGTACTATATTTTTACGCTTTTCAACACTCCAAGGTGGCACAACACTTCGGAAATGGTTGCGTCACATCTTCTATAATTGTGCAGTTCTGCTTGGCAGCCGCCAAGGGGCATCTGTAAATAATGCAGGAATGTTAATATGTAGATTGATATTGGAACAAACCTCCTAACATCTTTGCATTGATAACCCCCTTTTTAACACAGCTGTACTGTATACACTTGTCCAGTGGCCTATGGGCGCTGCCAATCTTCATAGTTATCCCCTCGTGTACACAACCGCTTGCTGGCAATATATTGGGGCCTGACTTACATGTCACCACCGAAAGGATGCAAAGGAAAACCAGGCAGAATAATATTATAATGGACTTGTTGGCTGCCATTGCTTGGTCGACTTAATATGGCTTTAGTTTCTATGAAATGCTTAAACAATTTCAAAATTTAACACGCAGCCGAATCGAATGGCCAGTTCTAATGAGATTATAGCTCAAAATTTGAGTAGCTTAACATCAAGAGCCTGCCTCAGAGATACTCAATAAAAAGTAATAATAACGCATTCTTAGGTGTAAATAATAATTAAGAAATAATATGTCCTATTTAGGTATTATGTTTTTCAGCTTAAAAACGCTTTGATTTATTACTAAATAAATTTATTAATAAATAAATAAATTTATTAATAAATAAAATTTATTAATAAATTAATTAATTAATAAATATATTATCCAAATAGAAAGACTATTATTTGTCAAATTCAAGAAATTCAATATTAGAAAACTATTTTATATATATAAAAATAATTACAAAATCAGGCATAACAATTCTTTATTAAAAGAAGATTTATATTATATAATTTGCACATTTTAAGTTCTTTGATTTTTAAAATTATGAACTACATATATAATATAAGCCTTATTAGGAGAACTAATTACCAAAAAAAAATAAGTCAATGGAAACTCATCTTCAGCCTCTTCCATATTCTAACAATTAACAACATTTTATTACAATAACTTTTCCAATAGCAGCTTTATGATAAAATACTGAATTTCGTCTTAGTATTGGAATAAGCGATAATATGTTTGGGTCTATACTGAGGCATAAGATTAAACTCCAAAGTTAATACATTATCTTACTTCGTTCCTATGGCAGCTATATCAAATAATCGAGCTATGCATGACTTGTGATAAACTTTGTGTACACACGACTAAGATAGGCCAGCATGATAAGTTCGGTTCCCCTAGCTCTCAACGTTCAATAGTAATCGACGTTCATACAGACGGACAGGCGCACATCAACTCTTTCTTTGTGTTACATACACTTTATCTGCATAGACTTCTTAATACACTCTTTAGTGAAAAGTTTAGGACAACAAATCTATTTTTCAAAATTCAAACTAAGTTTTGTTTGTGCTCTAGCAGAGTGTAAAACGTAATAATAATGCTTAGCTCGAGCCCCACATTATTTGAACTTAATTGCCGTGCAGAGCCCAACGAAAAGCGCCCTGAAAATCTTTTCCACTACACATACGAATGCAGCATAGAAATTGCAGAGACATAAAAATGTTTGCACTTCGTATTTGTCGCACATAAAATCTAATATCGAATTACAAGTGCCGCACGCCTCGTCTCGCCTCGCCATGCCACTTGCCCCAAGCTCCCAACGCCAGCAAACTCGACGCTCCACTCGGAGTGTGCGTGTTGCTCGAAACTTTGTCTGCGCTTGGGTCTGGCTGGCTGGTCGCCGTTGCCTTGGATGTTGCTGTTGCCGATGTTGTTGCTGGTGTTGGTGTTGGTGCTGGTGCTGGTGCCGATGTCGGGCCGACGAACAGCGACCAACGACTGGACTGCCCATAAAGAAACTGAATTGAGTTAAATGCGCGATAAATTGCTTTTTGCATTTATCATGGTCTGGAGCCGCGCCAAGCCAGCTTAGGCCAAACGCCTAGACGACGATGAAGATGCAGCGACTGTGGCGAATATCGAACAAGATTTTTAATTAGTCGCCAAAAAAGCAACAGCAACAACAACAACAATAAAAAGAATAACAAAACTCATAGTCAAGAAATTTATTAGCTGTGGTGCGTTTTTCTGGTACTTTAAGGCCATGTTTTTTTATGCATCGCCAGGCCTTATTTATATCATCATTATCATCAATGATGATAATCATTATCGGCCACTTAGGCCAGATCCTGCTGCAGCACTTTGTTAATGTATGGCAGAAAGCTGGAGACACGTGTATAGACATCGGGTCGACCCTGGGCGCAGGTGGCGCTGCCATAAGACACAATGCCCACAAGTTGGGGCACGGCGCCCATGAGGACCAACGGACCACCGGAATCGCCCTGGTCGGCAGAGAAAATAGATATCAGTTGTGCCGCTTTCACCAGCAATGCTGGCTTCTTCTTTTCACTTACCACACAAGCGCCCTGGCCGCGTGATGCCAGCGCGCAAATCTCATTGGCCGTGACACGAAAGCCTTTCTGCGCGCATTCCCCATTCGAGATGGTGCGATAGTTTAGCGCCTGTAGCTGATCCGGCAGCGTGGCGTTCGCTGCGGTCGGCGTGGTGGAGCCCCAGCCGGTGAGACGAACCGCTACCTTGTTGCCAATGCGATTGGGACCACCCAGTCCAATGGTTCCAATACTCGCCCGATGCAGTCGAAATGCGGGCGAGATCTTCAACACGGCAATGTCGTTGATGATGCGCGGACTCATCGTGTACTGGGGATGGACTTGCTTGGCCGCAATTCTATGCCGCATGCCGCCCGTCTTCCAGTTGAGGGTACCGCCCAGCACACTGATATCCTCGACTCTCATCTTCTCCACACAATGGGCAGCGGTCAGCACGTGTTGGGGACTAACTATGGAGCCGCCACAGAAGTGACGCCAGCGACCACGTCTCTGGACTTGCAGGGATACCTGAAAGGGTACCGTTTCGTTCACCAACTGGCCACCATTGACGCGAATGGGCTCGTTATCCGACCACTCCAGATCCGTCTTCAGCTCCAGATCAACTGGAAATGCCAGTGCATTATAATTTGTCAGCAGTAGAAGAATCGGCAGAAGGCTTGTAATTTTTCTTGACATTGCGACTGATTTCTGCATTTACAGATGCTGCTGCTGTTGATGGCTTGTGGCAATCTCTTTTATATCTTTCAATGCATATACTATATAGACAAGATTCCATTGCGTATCTTAAGCAAATAACCCAAGAGTGTAACGTCAGTTATTTGCTTAACCTTGCTGCAACCAACTGATCTTCAATTTGTACATTGTCTGTGTACGAATATATTTAAAATTCGGGCCAAGATCAAATTTGTTCGAGTCTTAAGAGAGCTAGCAAAGAGATATTTTAATCTTCTCTACTCGTCAATAATTTAAATGAAAGAAAGTCGAGCATGCAACATTTTTAGATTGTTTTTGTCATGCTTGGAAGCTGAGAAAGCAAACTCAATGGATCAGAAACAACTTAAGCGATTTTACTTGTATAATACCTATATACTCAATGGATCAGAAACAACTTAAGAGATCTTATTACACCTATACCACTAATTGTTGCCTATTAACTAATTTTTTAAAGAAACAAAGATAAATCTTTGGTTATAATTCAAGAAGTTTTTAGATTACTTTAAAATATAAACTAGAGAGAATTTCAGCTCTTTAAAGAAACAAAGATAAGTCTTTAGTTATTATTCAAGTAGTTTTTAGATTAGTTTAATATATAAACTAGTGAAGCTCTTGACAGAGTCGGAAGTTTGCATATATAAAAAATCTTTATATTAATTATTAATTTAATTTAATTTAAGAAAGATAAAAACACAGCATTTGGAAATTATACTTTTTATTTTGGTTAAGATCATATGAATGTCATATGATAAAGAATATATCATTTGTGACTATCTCCAGTTAGACTTGGAGTGAAAACTGGCAATCCTTAGGGATATGAAAGGTACATAGTTATAACTAATTTGGATTTACAGAGTTGTATGCCACAGATTTCGACGACCGCCGACTCTTGTAGCAGGAAGATCTAGGCGAGCTAGATAGACTATCCAGGTCGGGCTGGACTTCCCTGTCTACCTTAAATATTCATACTTGGTCCTTGTCCTTGGTATTCTGTCCTTGTTTATGCCTCTTGCTGCAAATTATTGGAGTTAAGGCCAATAGAAGCCCAAAGAGCCTACAAATCCGCCAATCTAGCATTTCATTTCAGTCATTAGTATAAAGGCTATAAAAAGTAATGTATATAATTTAAAAATTAATTTAATTTAATTTGACTTGCTTTGCTGACAATTAATATCTATTTATATGTATAATTTAATGCAATGCATCTATTAATAAGTACTTTTTAGTTATTCAAATTTGATTGCAATTATTTAATCTAAAATAAAAATAAGTAGGTCTGAGATTCAAAAAAAATTTTTTTTCTTATTAAAATTAGTTTTTAATTAATTCGAAGTGTAAATTAGAAATTATTGTAATTTGATTAGATTTCTCCTTCTTGGGCTTTTCTAGCTTAGAAGATGCTTTTTATAATTTTTATATATTCACCTCCTATTTATATCGACTGTCAATGTTTGTTGACATAAACAAATAATTAAATTAATAAATATATAGCGACTGTCTGCTTGCATTAATTGGCATGGCAGCAAGGGCATAAGTCTTGACATTTTACCAATCTGTGTCTCCTTTAGCTACTGGTTTCTTGCACTTAGCTATTGGCTTACTTCTGTAGCTTGCCATGCGATCAACAGATATACAGACAGACAGACAGACAGACAGACAGATGGACGGATATACTTAGTTAGTGGTGGGACAAGTTTTTGTCGCCCGCTGTTTGTTGCACATGCACGAAAAAAAATCATAAGCCAGTCAACCCAAACAGATCATATTCTCGAGCAGCGGGCTTGACAGAAGCGCCTACCTGTTGTCATCAATTAGGTAACAAGCTCACGCGACCGATAAATATTGCCACGGCAACACGTTTCGTATCTGTATCTGCATGTGGGTAACCATGGAGTGCACTGCCGAGATCTCTTATCGGAATTGCAAATAAAAATCTGTTGAATTTTCTTGCCGCACCCACCGCCCGCTTCCACCAAATTCCTGGGACCGATCCAACTCTGGAGGCATAATTTATATGTGCTGCGAGTGTATGTCTGTGTGTGTGTGTGTGTGTGTGTGTGTGTGTGTGTGTGGATTTGGAGCACGCACCTTGCAAATTAAGTATAGTATTGAAATAAACGAGCAATTTACTGATTATGCAAAACATGCAATTAATTTTCAAGCTGATTTTTGTTTCAAATGTTCAGCTCTCCTACTTCAGACACACTATCTTGTAGTTCCCCATGTCGCACTGACTGTAAGAAACAAGTGCAAAATTAATTGCCACTCACTGCGAGTGGAAAATTTATGGAGAGTGTTTCTGGAATTGTCCCAAACATATATTTTTTTTTTCAGAGTATAAGAAGCTACAAGTACTATAGCACGTATATAAATCCAGTTAATTTGTAGAACAGACAACGCGTGTAAAAGTTAAAAGAGGCAGCTACGACTACAAACAGGTACATACTCGTACTACATAATGAAAAGTAAAGGCTGCTTTGAAATTATAGTACCTTTGCTGCAACAAAATGTTGATTAGCTGCCTAAAGATGAAAGCGTTTGCCATTTTGAATAGCAACAAATGAAATAATAATCGATAAAGAAAAGGGGTTTAGCTTGAATCTTTAAAATGTACAAGTATATTAACATAAAATCATGAAACATGCGACAAAATGTGTCAATTTCCTCCTCTCGACAAACTCTCCTAAATACATGCCTTCAACGTCGTGGTAATTTAATAACCACCAAAAGACTGGACAACACCAACAGTAACCGCCCAAGACGCCTCTTCCACAGCCCCACCACTAAGAAAGTCGCATCTGGCCAATCACCAGTTCGATGGACAATTCGCCGAGAAATAAATCCAAGAGCGGCTCCACCTCGATGACGTCCATAGGCATTTCAAAACGGACAAGAATCGGACAATGTAACGTGAGAAGTCTAAAGGAACCATCCAGGCTAGCACAAATTGAAGGAGAAATGGACCTGGCGACGGACCATCCTTCAGGAATTATCCCATAAGAACATCACATGGGACACAGCTACATAGACGGCCAGAAATAGAGTTAGATGGAAAGAACTTGTAGAAGCCCTTAGAAGCCCAAGTGGAGTAAATAGGAATAAAAAATAATAATAATAAAATAGCCACTCAGAGCGAGCCTCAGGTCCTGAAAACAATGTCAACTAACTATAGAATCTCCACGCCGAGATCAGATAAGAAAGAAACTCCAAGCTATTGATGGAATAATAAAATAAACAGACGGACAGATTAATGGATCAATGGTCTGGAAAAAGAACCAGTGGATAGAACTTAAAGATATACTCGTATTTAATTCTTTCTGTGCTGCAACCAGAAGGGACAGTGATAAAAGATCAGGTTCTTTAATTGTAAAGAAGTTTTTGCTTCATCTGTGAGGCATAAATACAACATTCTACAATAAGTCTAAGCCAATGCTTAGACTGAGTTTTAATATTATTGTAGAATGTTGTATTTATGCCTCACAGATGAAGCAGTCTTCAACTGCCTAGAACGAGAATATATAGTAAATTCCGGGCTCCTGTTAATTCTTTGCAATATGTTGGTGAAGGTTTTTCTTACATTTGTGTAGCAATTTATTTGAACTATTTATTAAGAATAATATCTATTAGTATCCTTTCCTTTTATGACAGCTTGGTAAGGGATTTCATCGCTTGGTTATTGGTTTTCCCTTCAACTTCTACAGATTTGTGTTATTCCAGGGTACAAGGCACTTTTTGTTTTAATTTTGTTTTGGAATGTTGTATTTATGCTTCACAGATGAAGCAGTCTTCAACGAGATTATAAATTCCGGGCTCCTGCTAATTCTTTGCAATATCTTGTCAGTTTGTTGGTGAAGGCTTTTCTTACATTTGTGTAGCAATTCATTTGAACAATTGATCCAGAATAATATCTATTAGTATCCTTTTGTTTTATGATTGCTATTTATTTATTTTATTGCTATTATTTATCAAGTATAATATCTATTAGTATTCTTTCGTTTTATGATTGCTCCCCTATACAATTAAAGTAATAGGAGCTGGCGGATTTCATCGCTTCGTTATTGGTATTCCCTTCAACTTCTACAGATTTGTGTTATTCTAGGTTATAAGGTACTCTTTCACTTTCTCATGATGAAAGGATTGTAGAGCAGCAAATGAAAGTTTATTCTTTTAAATGATATTGTTAGCTACAACATATTTTCTATTGCAAGGGATTTATGGACATGGCTGACTATTGGTCTGATCTGATCTGACAAAGCTCTAGTTACGATATAATCACTTGGCTGTGTGTTTATTATTTAGTTCTTTACCTCGAGTACTTGTCAACTTAATTGCTGATGGAGGGAACATTTATTAAAACGTGGCATGTTATACTACTTCCTATTGGAAATACGCAGTACGTTGAGCGTAGAACATAAATCTGTAGTACATAAAAGCTAAGACAATCAAATATACAGACGTACACATGTACCAGCTACCGTATAAGGGACCACAAGTGAAACCTCAAATACAAATACAAATACGAGAACATAAAACAAGCGACTGTGCTTTAAGAGTCGGCAAATAAATCACATTGAAGACTTGCCGGCCGCCAGAAAGAGAGTCCGGAATGAAGAATGAAGTCAAAACCCACAAAGACAAAGCGGCGGCGGCACTCGCACAGGCAATAAAAATTGCAGTGAAAATGTCTACAGAGCTGGTCATCTTTGCCATCCGCCGCTTGACCGGCCACACGGACATACAGACATGCGGACATACGGCCACACGCACAATTCCCAAGAAGTCCAGCAATGCCGAGAATGAGCGAGCAATCAAGCAAAATGTCATAATAATGATGGCGTCTCAGACGAGCCCCTTCGGCCGGCTTGACAGGATGCTTATCTTGTTAACACCGATGCGCTTGCCCGGCTTCGAGTCCAATAAAAATTTGCCGCTTAAAATGAACATCAGCAAAAAAAAAAAAAAAAAAAAAAAAAAACAAAGGCCAGACAATGACTTTGCAGTTGTTGCTGATGAAATGATTAAAATGCATTTTATTAGCCAGAATTTCGCTACAAATGGACATGACAAGAGTGGACTTAAGCTAACGAATATTGAAGACGCTGTTTAACTAAATTTAATTTTAAAACATGCTCGCAAACATGCAGGGATATGAAAATGTTTGCTTGAGGAGAACTTAATCCTTCTCTGCCCTTGAAAAGGTCCCCACTCTTAAGTATGCTGGCATTCAAAGTTTCCCCCACCGGCTTGAAGATTTTGCTTCTTCTTTTTCTGCCTTACTTTTCTTAGATATCTTAAGTAGAATTAAGTTTTCTCCTCTACTATTTTTTTTTTTTTTTTGGTGGTGTAGGCCTATAATGTCTCTGACAACATATGGCTGCGAATCGGCTCATAGCTGGCCAAATGGAAAACGCATTAATAGACATATTTCTTTCTTTTTTTCAAGTTTAAATTATAACTTAATATTAGTAAACTGTATTGACAGCATTATTTGTTGATATATTAAAAATCTAAATAAATATTAAATAAATAAATAAGAGTCATTGAGAATTATTGGGTATTGTGAGAAACTTATATTATAGGAAAACGGCATTGCTAGCAAAGAACGCTTCAAAAAAAAAAATGCGAGAAGAACTCAAACACAAAACTGGTTGATAAAAATATTCCAAGTAATTATATATTAAGAACTTGTGTTAATTAAATAAGCGCTTACCCACAGAATATAAATATAAATACATATGTTTTTTACGACGTATTTTTATTCTTAATTACATTTGTAATTATATCCGTACTTTTTAAGATCCATACATAAATTCATAATAATATCCATACTTAATTCAATTGGTTTCCCATTGCTCTCAGTCGAGGGTTGTATTCTTTCTATTATATGTATATTATATGATTAAAAAATCTACTTCTGATTTTGTTGGTCCGTTCAATTCTAAATTTAACAGTCAGTTTAATTTAAGTTTGTTTGCTCTTTAATATTAACAATTTATTGGTCATTTCATTCATATGTATAAAGAGCTGAGCTATCTATACCATTCCAACACACTCGGCCGACTTTAAGGGGGCCTTACAAATAAAATTTGGTGTTCTCCAGGTGCACGGAACATCGCCCAAGCCATATTTACTTTCTTGGTCATGCCGGAAATCTGTACAATACTCATCGCCAGATAAATTATTTGGTTCGCCCTTATTGAAAAACTGCTTCTTAACGCGTTTGTGAGTACTTTGCCAAAAGAACTTGTCTTGTTGCGCTAAACAGTTGGCGGATGCCCAATAAGTACATTCAATTGAATTTGTGTTACAGCCCTCAGCTATTATATAATCACTGAGTGTGTTCATTTCCTCCAAGGAGTCGAAGGAAAGCAGACGTGCACCCCGTCTGTTGCACAACATGTCGGCCTTAAACCAATTCGCCTAATCAAATTTCAATATTTCTATAATTATTAACGTCAAATTTATACGATTTATGCTTACCTTATCCTCTGGATCCTTTCGGAACCAATAACAATTCGAATTGATTAGAGTAAAGCCCTCCGGACACTCTAGAAAACGAAAAAACCCATAAAAGTTTGTAAAAAGCAAATAATAAACTTATTAAGTTGAGGATCACTATAATCTCTTAATCTCATCATCTTTTCCATAAACCTACCGGCAGCACGTTCTTCAATAAGAAGTAAACAGCATAAGACCAAAAATATAACTTTCATAGCTACGCCAACACTGTATCTGAAGATCTGACTATAATAAATCATGAAATTCTTGTCTCCATAATGTAATGACATTTTCAACCTCAAATATTGGCATAGCCGTAACGTATTAACTGACTTAAATGGTAAAGTGAAACTAATTTAAGTGGAGATTGGACAGTTTTTCATAAATGCTTGAAGGGCATGGAGATATCATCACCGGCGCATATTCGCCGGCACTTTGCTGTTTTACTATTTATGTCAGAAACTAGCCTTAATCGTTTCCAGTCCATTAAAATAAATCCTCTGCCATAACAACAATCATTTTTGGAAGTATATGGTTAGCCAGGAGTGTTTAACTTAAGCCTGCAAAGCGCTTAACCGACACATGAATAAGATTTACAAATAAATTTCAGTAACAATTTTCTTAAACGAATTTTCAAAAGTTTATCTTAAAAATGTCTTTTATAAATTCCTTCATCTAATTGGACCTTTTATTAAATGTCCTTCTTCAACTATTCAAGCAAAGTTTTATTCCTTGGTATTTACAGGGAAAGAATTTAAATCCTTTTTTCGAATTGTTTGAAACGAATTTTCAAAAGTTTATCTAAACAATGGGATGAAAATTTGAACAGCCTATATTTGGAATGGTAGGTATATAATTAAAGATACAGTATATAGTTAAAGATACAGGACTCATGTCTACTGTCGATGATCGGAGTTTCGAATTGACGTTTTCGGTTTCTCTCGGTATTAAAAGTTTATCTTTTCTTTAGTGAATTACTAAATAAATTCGCATATTCTACACACAAATATTTCTAATGGATTGTTTTTCTTTTCAATGGTTTTCTTAGATTTTAAGAAATTGTGCCTTTCAGCCTGAAATGAACAGCAAAATACAATAGTATCTCTACTTCTTATTGATAACGTGTATATTATATTTTCACTCAAAACATTTTCAAAATAATGAGAAGAGTTCACTGCATAACTATAGTACATGGTTTCTTACATTTCTTTAATCTATTTGGGGCTTTTATTAAATGTGATTGCTTTTTAAGACGTCCTTATTCATTTATTTCAAGCGAAATTTTATTCCTTTTAAATCCTTTCTTAGAATCATGGTCGTAGAGACTATTGTTGGAAAATATTTCAGAACTCTGTTATGTAAGATATTTGACGTGAAAATCAAATAAACTTTTTGCTTATATTTCTGAACTTATAATCTGAAATTCCAATAGCGAGTCGACTTCAATTTAGAAAACAAAAAAAGTAAGAAATTCGGATTACGAATCGAATGTAAGAATAATCTAAGACACAATCGCGATATCAAATATATTTAAGAGTATTTCTTGTAAAGTATTTTAAATGCCATTTTTCCACATCTAATATATTTTGTAAGAACATCATTTAATTTACTTATTATTTTTTTATTATTTGTTATTAAACGTAATATATCCTTTAATAATTCATCAAAGAAAAATCGATATATGTATTATAAATTAGAGAACAGCTTCCTTGGCATACGTTGTAACTGGCTGTAATGAAAATATTTTTTGATTAAACGCATCATCCCCAATAATATGAGTATCTAATGAGCTTACAGCAGGATTAACATATCAACTGAAAGGTTGATGAGCGCACGAGTTGATATATGCATATGCAAATGATGTGCGAAGCCTAAAAATACGCCCAACTACTGATAAGTCAGTCTGTCCTGTTCTGCTGCTCGCACCTCGACGGGGTGGTCCAATTAACAAAAGCGAGGCATAAACTGACACGACAGGCGCCAACAGCCAACAGGCAACAGGCAACAACACGAGTGTCTGAGGCAGCGACAGACGGACAGACAGACAGACAGACAGACGGAGTGGAATATGCACATCCTGTGCTTCGCCTTAATAATAAAGCCATTTCAGGTTCAAATCGGTTCAGGTCGTAAACGCAGAGCGAACGCAGACCGCAGCCAACAATTAACACAGTAGTCCAAAGATCGAGACCCCACCAGGCAGCAAAACAAAATCCAAAAGGTGTGCATAATTAATTTGAGTCTGCAAGCCGCTCGACCGCCTGTCCGCCCGTCCGCCCGCCGATCACCACATCAAACTAAAATATTTGCTAGTTCTCGCAAGTTGGGCGAAGTTTTTGTACTCTATACGGGCCCCAACACACCACAGTTTTCCAACTCATAACAAGCTTTACAGGTACTGTAATCATTATAAGTGTTATTGAATAAAAATACAAAAGATTGATTATTTCTTAATTTAATTAAATTTTTAAAATTAAAATTATATATCATGGTTATTTCTCAATGTTACAAACTCTTAAAGTCTCAAAAAACAAAATAATCATTATTTGCGGTCTCTGGGAATAAATATTTTAAGACGAGATACAAAATGTTCTTCAAACATCGAAAGAAACAACCAATTTTAAGTTAATGAACGCAGTGATTGTTTCTTTGCTAGTTGTTTGTTATATATATGACTATAATTCAAGTACATATTATCAAACTATATATAATACACTCAAACTACAACTTCATGTTGATAAGAAACATGTCCCCGCCAAGTTTGGTGTCTGCAGCTTATATGGCTTACACTTTAACGAGGTTCATACAGACAGACGGTCGATCCGACAGACGAACATGGCGAAATCAAGAATTTGTGTCATTTTCGTTCTTTCAGGCTTTCTAGTATGACCTTTCAGACATCAGAAACAGGATATAAGAACTAATTAAATAACAAACGCAATTACTTCTTTTGGCTCATAAATGTTTTTAGTGTAACGAGAGATTTTGCACCGATCTTCCCTATGTCAGCTAGATAACATAATTCAACCAAGTATTAAAAGTTGCTCATAAACTTTACCAGCATATGGATTAATTCGCTAACCCAGTCAAGGCATAAACATTAACTAGGTTCATACAGGAAGACAGATGAATGGACAAATGAATTTGCCTACATCGATACGACTCCTTATCCTGATCATACTCCTTAGATATATGAGCCTACGGAGGCTCCTTCTGCCCTTTACATATATAACGAACTTCTTGGCAAGACTTTTGAATCATAGAGTAGAGGGTATAAAAAAAAAGAGACATATAAGCCCAGTCTCGAAATGATTCATTAGCCTGAACGCAATCAGGCCGGAACTGACACATACAAGTACAACGCCATCGCCATCGCCCTGGTCGGGAAATAGACCAGATAACTGACCGACCAGACGACGTCAAGTCAACTGCAACTGCATCGGCAACGGAACGGCAACGGCAGCTGATTTGCATCGAACATGTGAGCTGGCCAGATACGGGCAGGGCCCAGACAGGCAGGATGAGTGCAGGCCGCATACCGAGGTGTTGATTGCCAGCAGCAAGCCTCCTGTCTGCCGTCTGCTGTCTGCCGTCTGCTGTCTGCGTGTCTGCCCGGCTTCCAAGGTGCCAGGTCTGTCTTCTGTCTCCGTGTGCTCCAGCAATGAATTAAAAGAAATGCCTGCTGCCCAACTAGCTGGCAACTGAGTCATTCGGGCCGCCGGGAGCGTTCGTTGTTTTAATCGGAATATTTAAATGATACGTTGATTAAAACCGCACAACTGCATTGCACTGCCTCGGGACTACCATGGAGAGTCTCTTCTTGTGCCACTTGTGAGTCCGACTCGCTCGTGTCGCTTCAATTGAGCGCGTAGGCGTCATTCCCAGGAATTGACAGTTGCAGTCATCTGTCTGTCTGTCTGTCTGTTTGTCTGATCATCAGTCGGTCTACCTGTGAGCATGTGTGAAAAGAATAAAAAATAAAAAAACAAAGCACCACCCAAAAGCAATCAAGGTTCGTCTTCTAAAAGGAATCGCAACGGACTATTTATACACATCCCATCTGAAAATATAAATTTATAAAGGTAGACAAAAACGTGATTCAAATAAAGTTTATTGCAATAAACACACTTGTCATTTAAGCAATTTTTTTTAGATACATAGGTCTGGTTTCAAAAAATGATAAATCTAATTATGATTTATTATATATGTATGTATATCAATAGTTTTTTTAGTTTTAGCATTTCTAGTTAAAACATTAATTTAGCTCATTTACGATTACCCGAAGCTCATATTGTAGCTCCACCTCTGGATTAATAGGTTTAATATGAAACTATATTAAAAAATGTTGATATTGAAATAATTTGAAATAAATTGAAAGTATAGATTGGTTCGCATAGGAATTCAATTATAAGAAAGATTATATGTTATGATGATACTAACTGATGTTTTAACAAGATTAAATAATAAAATAATATGTGATTTCAATCATGCTTATTTTGAATAATCATCAAAATCATCATTTTAACATTTCATAAATTTCAGGATTTAATAAATTTTATACCTTCTCTAACTTTATAAATATTTTTGTTTAAATTTGTCAAATGCGGCAGCGCCTCCTTCATTTAATTTAAAAGAATAAATTTCAGTATTACATATAATTGTTGAAAGTTCACGAATTTCAATATTCTAATATCTTTATATATTCAGATACCCGAGAGATCCTTCTCCCTCTTAACTTGGCCAGTTTTTTTAACTGCCACAAAAAAGAGCAGCAGATTCCACAAAGTATTTGAATTCTTGATTAACATGATAAGACGTGTCGTTCTAAGCATGTTCGTCTGTCCGTTCGGCTGTCCATCTGTCTGTATGAACGTAAGGTTCTAGAGTCACCAAACTTGGCATGCAAGTTCTCCTAAATCCTGCAAAGCACAAGCTTTTGGTTAAAACTTTTGCATATACTTGTTTTTATCGAAAAGTATGAAAGCTATAAAAAAGCTAAGATTTTAAAAATGTTAGAAACAATTGCACTGTCTCTAAGAGTTCAGCTTTTAATTTAGCTTTTAATTTCAGATTTCAGCAATATTTGGCACAAATTTAATAAAAACTTATTTCTTAAAGAAAATCAATAAAATAAAAAAGAAAAACGTCTCATTTGTTGCGAAGCTTTTTGTCAGTCTGACCATAGCTTTTTTTACACATTACGCTATTGGTAGAAAAATAGACTGTCAAGCCAGCTAATGTATTATTAACCTTACTTTTTCAGCTTTTAATATTAGATTTCAGCTAAATTTGCGCAAAAATTGAATAAAAAAATTTTTCTTAAGAAAAATCAGTAAAATTTCTAAAGGAAAAATGTCTCATTTCAGGGCTTAATTTTTATTTGTTGCAAAGCTTTTTGTCAGTCTGACCATAGCTTTTTTACACATTACGCTATTGGTAGTTTTCTACCGTTGTGCGTCTAATGTATTATTAACCTTCTTTTTTACCAGCTGTTGGAAATTTTCAACATGTTGGAATTTTTCTGGGGCTGCTATCACATGTGTGAATGACCTTGTTACCCATTCTATGCGGCCAGCCCACCCACAGCTACCGCCCATCGAGTGCAACTAGATAAAATGATAATGAGTTGAAAAACTGCACTATTTGAGTCCAATGCATTGTATATAAAGAGCCAACTCGTACCGCTAGAAAACAGACAAGTTCTTGGGATACGATGAAGACAGTCCAGTTCGTTTGGCTAGCAGTGTTCGGTACGGTGTTGGCTTTAAAAGTGAGCAATGCCAAGCCGAGTGGCACAGTAATTGATCGTAAGTCGGCCATAGGTACCCGATAAAGTATGTGAGACAATTGTTTTTCTGTCGTCCGTGCAGTGGACGCGTATTTCGAGGAAATGGAGGCCAATTCGCAGGAGCGAGTTGTTGGCGGCTCCGACATCCTGGAGGACGAGTATGTGCCCTACCAGGTCTCGATGCAGTATCTCACACGTAAAGGCCAGCAACGACACTTTTGTGGTGGCTCTCTAATATCGCCGAACCGTGTGCTGACGGCCGCCCACTGCGTCAATGGACAGAATGCCAGTCGGATTAGCGTGGTGGCCGGTGTCCGGGACTTGAACGACAGCACGGGTTATCGCTCCCAAGTCACCTCCTATGAGATGAACGAGAACTATCAGGAGTTGGTCACCAGCGACATTGCGATACTGAAAATAGAGCCACCATTCGAATTGGATGGCAAGCGTGTGGACAAGATCGACGTGAGTGGCACTGAGTTGGTGGGAGCCGATCAGCCGGTGGTGCTCACCGGTTGGGGTTCCGTATTTCATTTCGGCAACGGACCTTTCGCCAAATATCCAACGCGCCTCCAACGACTCTCCTACAAAACCCTGAGCAATGATAAATGCAAAAGGACCATGACTCAGCTCACAGATACGGAGATTTGTGCATTGGAACGTTTCGGCAAGGGTGCTTGCAACGTGAGTGGTTACAGAGTAGTTATAGGGTAGTGCGAGACGGCTAAGATCATCTTAACAATTGCAGGGCGACTCTGGAGGTCCGTTGGTTATGCAGAATGGCGACAGTCTGAAGCAGGTGGGCGTAGTATCCTATGGTACGGCATTCTGTGCCTCCAATAGTCCCGATGTATACACACGTGTCTCGATGTTCGATAGCTGGATACAGGAACGCATGGCCTAGACTAAGAATAAATAAATAACAGACCTATTTCCAGCTTTATTTAACCAAATATATCTGTTTCTTACGCCAATGAAATAATTACTTCATTAACTGAAACGACGCCACTTGGCCAAGCTACTTGAAGAAACTAGTTCGTACGTGCTCGCAGAGCGAGAGATAGAGCGAGAGAGAGCGAGTGCAGGTGTGGTGAATTTCAATTGGTGAGCGTAACTTTTTCAAATATTTATTCAACGTTGTGTGTTGTAATAGTAATTCATAGCCTACAAAGGGAGCCACAGAAATATACCGTGAAATTTCAATTTTCACACGATAATAATAAATAAATAAAATAAAAATTTAAAAGCCACACACTAGAGCGTTGAGCATTAGAGACCGTAAGATGATGGTCCAAGCGAGACTTTTATTTATAGCAGCGCTCTCAATGCCTTACTCTATTGCAAACTTGAATAGTAAGTAGTACATTGGAACATCTCTGTGGCTTTGCAACTAATCGAAGGATCGAACACTCTATAGCAAGTCGGGTCAACATGAATGCGTTACAGCGCATTTTTGGTGGCTCAGAAGTACCAGAGAATGAGCATGTTCCCTATCTTGTCTCCTTGCAGTACCAAACGAGGAGGGGAATCATACATAACTGTGGTGGATCCATTATAGCTCCCAACCGCATACTGACTGCCGCTCACTGCTGCAAAGATATGAATGTGACGCTCATGACCGTACTGGCGGGAGTGCGAAACCTCGACGATCACACAGGTTTTCGATCTAAAGTCGTGACCTGTAGCATCCATCCTGACTACAAATCATTAGTCACCAGCGACTTGGCAGTGCTCAGCATCGATCCTCCACTTCATTACAACAATCTCACAATTGCACCGATATCGGTGAATGGGAAAGAGTTCGTGCCCGGAAATGTGTCTGTCACAATAACCGGCTGGGGTCTACGCTTTCCAATATCCATTTCATTCTTGGAATTCTTCATGTACCCCAAAATTCTACAGCGGGTGAACTATAGCACCATTACAAATAAACAGTGTCGGGACTGGGGTATGGATAAGGTGACTGACACAGAAATTTGCGTGCGGGGACTCTTGAAAGGAGCGTGTGCGGTAAGTTGATCTCTGGTGAAGTATACGATCGGCGTATTGGACACGTTAAGTTTCTAGGGTGATTCTGGTGGACCACTGGTCATGACAACTAGTAAGGGGTTATTGCAAGTTGGGATTGCTGCTTATGCTCCAAGGATATGTGGCTTGTTCCTCATACCCGATGTCTACACTAGACTCTACACCTTCAGAGACTGGATACAGAAGCAAATCAATCAGTGAAAATATTGAAAATAAAATATATAATTATGTTTCCAATCAATTCCTCTTAATTCTTCCATATCTTGGCTAATAAATTCTCCATATTTCCATTAAATGTTTGCGAAAACAAGATAAATGTGTCAACTAATTTAGAAATTACGGATCATAAAGTAGTATAATGCAGAAATCTGATTAGCAATGCATAAAACTGTCGATGCCAAAGCAAATCTGAATTATACGGAACCCATGTTAAGTAACTCACTATCATTACATTGTAACTATCTGCATTCGAGAATGAGCAATGAACGCTCTTGCAAGGCTTTTATTTATAGCAGTGGCCTTGCTGCCTGGCAGTATGACAAGCTCGAATAGTAAGTAATAAACCGGAACGTCTCTATAACTTCGCAATTAATCGTAACATCGCATCCACCACTTGATAGAGGGTGAGCCCAGCTCGGATGAGTTGACACGCATCGTTGGTGGCTCGGAGGTCCCACAGAACGAATATGTGCCCTATCAGATCTCCTTGCAGTACCAAACAAAGCGGGGAATCACGCATTTCTGTGGTGGATCGATCATAGCACCCAATCGGATACTGACTGCCGCTCACTGCTGCCAAGGTTTGAATGTGACGCGTATGACCGTAGTGGCGGGTGTGCGAAACCTAGACGATCGCACCGGTTACAGGTCGAAGGCTCTGAATTGTACCACCCACCCCGACTACACGGCTTTGGACACCAGCGACATAGCAGTGCTCAGCATCGATCCCCCACTTAAGTACAACAATCATACAATTGCACCGATTTCGGTAAAAGGGAAAGAGTTCGTACCCGGCAATGTGTCCGTAACAGTAACCGGCTGGGGTCGACGATTCGCAATATCCTTACCCTTTTTAGAACAGTTCATATATCCCAACAGTCTACGGCGCATGAACTACGCCACCATAACAAATGAGAAGTGCCGCGCTAGACTTATGACTAAAGTAACAGAGAGGGACATATGCGCACAGGGCCTCTTTAGAGGAGTGTGCACTGTAAGTGGAACTGGGGCGAAGTGTCGGAGCAGCCTATTGAGTTCGTTTTCCTTTCAGGGTGATTCTGGTGGACCACTGGTGATGAAAACCAGCAAAGGAGTACACCAAGTTGGAGTCGTCGCCTATGGTCTGGCAATATGTGGTTTGTCCATCACCCCAGATGTCTACACCAGGGTCTCCGCTTTCAGTGACTGGATACAAAAGCAACTCTAGATGTGTAAATACTGGCACTACTGATTCATAATCAATGTGTTGTGAACCATTTTTAATAAGGATTGATTTGAAAGTTGTTCGCAACTTGTATAAATTTGTTCTCATTTGTATAAAATATTCACAAACTAACTCTGATGTTCTCTGAAAATGTGGTGCCTACTACTTGTAATTCAAAGGTTGCAGATCAACTAGTATAATGCACAAATCAGATTAGTAATGCATAAAATTGACGATACCAATGCAAATCGTACGTATTTCATTTTAATTAAGTCTGTAAAATGCAATATATTGGAACTATCGGCATTCGGGAATGAAAGATGAGCGCAATTGCAAGGCTTTTATTTCTAGCAGCGCTCTCAATACCATGCTGTATCGTACACTCGAGTAGTAAGTAAAAAAACCGAATTGTTGCTGTAACTTCGCAACTAATCGAAATGGGAAACACCTTATAGATATGAGGCGCATAGTTGGTGGCGCGATGGTGCCAGAGAATGAGCAAGTTCCCTATCAGGTCTCCTTGCAGTTCCAAACCAAAAGAGGGATCAGGCATTACTGTGGTGGATCGATCATAGCTCCCAATCGCATACTGACTGCCGCTCACTGCTGCAAAGATATGAATGTGACGCTTATAACCGTACTGGCGGGTGTTCGAAATCTCGACGATCGCCATGGTTTTAGGTCCAAGGCTTTGAAATGTGCCGCACATCCTGACTACCAAATGCTGGTCACCAGCGACATAGCAGTGCTCAGCATCGATCCTCCACTTAAGTACAACAGCCTCACAATTGCACCGATATCGGTGATAGGGAAGGAGTTCGTGCCCGGCAATGTGTCTGTCACAATAACCGGCTGGGGTCGAATGTTCCCAATACCTTTAAATTTCATACAAAGTCTCACAATTCCTAACACTATGCGGCGCATCAACTATCACACCATAACCAACAAGAAGTGCTATGAAATGGGTAAGACAAGAGTAACGGACACGGAAATATGCGCTCATGGCCTCTTCAAAGGAGTATGTTCTGTAAGTTGATCTTAGAAGAAGTGTAGGACCAGTGCAGTGGACCAGACCAGTGTTATACTTTCAGGGTGATTCTGGTGGACCACTGGTGATGAAAAGCAGTAAAGGATTGCATCAAGTTGGCATCGTCTCTTATGGTTGGATAATATGTGGCTTATCCATAGCGCCCGACGTCTACACGAGGGTCTCTACTTTCAGTGACTGGATACAAGAGCAACTCAAGAAGTGAAAACTCACCTAAGACTGAGCTAATCTGTTACGAAAAGAGTAAACAAATATGCACTTTAGTTGTCAATCAATAATTTTATTAAACATATTCATTTGTCTTAAGAATCTGAGTCTCAGTCTTCAACCATTCAATAGAAAGCAAATGAAGAAAACCAATGCAGTGTTACAAAATGCCAAAATATTCATTTATACTAAAAACAATGCTTACGTTTTATAACACTGCTTTTCAGTGAGAGTGCAAGAGAGAGCCAGAGTGGTGAATTCCCATACGTGAGCGTATCCGAATCGCAGGCACATATAACAATCGGTTTAAAATTAGAATCGCAAAATATGCCTAAAACATTGAACTGGGCTCCTCAACAATATTCCAACTGATGTAAATGCTGCGAGTGCCGCCAGCGATCTATTTTCAACCTGAAGCGCCTCTTCCCCAGCTACCTATAATTGTTTGCACAATTGTGGCCGAAGTTAGTCGACCTTGGCTAATGAGTTGCTCCACATTGCCATAAATGTTTGCAAATTAGCTCAGCTGTTAGATACATTTGCGATATCTATGCCAAGTACCAGCAGCACGCTCATTATATTTTGAAATTTCAAGATCAAATAGTTGGCGCATAGGTCTGACTAGTAACCCAGAAAATTGTCGATACCCATGCAAATTTGTCGCACACTATACTTTAAAAAGCGTCACAGTGGAACGTTCCGCATTAGAGAATGAACGATGTACGCTCTTGCGAGGCTTTTATTTATAACAGCGCTCTCGATGGCACGCTCAAATAGTAAGTAATAGACCGGAACCCCGCTATACTTCCTAGTTAATTCAATTATACGCTCCACAGCGAGTGAGCCCAGCTCGGAGGAGAATAAGCGCATAGTTGGAGGCTCCGATGTGCCAGAGAATGAACATATTCCGTATCAGGTCTCCATGCAGTATAAAACCGACGAGGGCCTGAGGCACTTCTGTGGTGGATCCATCATAACACCCAATCGGATACTGACTGCCGCACATTGCTGCGATGGTCTCAATACGACGCGTATGTCGGTGCTGGCGGGTGTGCGGAACCTCGACGATCGCCATGGTGTTCGTTCGAAGGTCTTGAGCTGTACAATCCATCCCGACTATAAAATTTTGGTCACTAGCGATATAGCGGTGCTCAGCATTGATCCTCCACTAAAGTACAGTAAATTCAGAATTGCACCGATTTCGGTGGAGGGCAAGGAGTTCGTAGGAGATAACGTGCCCGTCACCCTAACCGGCTGGGGTCGACGCCTACCCATATCGATTCCCCTTCTTGACATACTCAATTATCCGAATTCCCTGCAACGCATGAGCTACCACACCATTTCCAATAAACAGTGCCGAGAGAGTGGTATGGAAAAGGTGACTGACACGGAAATTTGTGCGCGGGGGATCTTCAGAGGTTCGTGTTCGGTAAGTCGATCTTTCAAATAGAAAATCGTCGAGGTATTGGGTATGGTATATTTCCAGGGCGACTCTGGTGGGCCACTGGTTACAAGAACCAGCAAAGGCGTGCATCAAGTTGGAATCGTCTCATATGGCTTATCAATATGTGGCTTGTCCATCACGCCAGACGTTTACACTAGGGTTTCTACTTTCAGTGACTGGATACAAAGCGAAATTACGAAGTGAAATCTACTCGCAACTTCAAAATAAAGCAATTTAGCGTAAAGGAATGCTCGAACAAAATATAAATAATTATTTGTAGCTATTCAAGAGAAACGAATGATTATTTATGTGTTTTATTTTTAAAACTATAATAACGAATCGCGGGTCTATCCACGCTTGACTAATCAGTGACCTTTCAAACCTAGAATCAAATTTAATTTTAACCGCGGAACTGCCTTTGAGCAAAGGTTGCTCGGTTCCCAATAAATAAATGGGGGTCTCATACATACTTTTAATCGAAATATTTTAAACTAAAATTCGAATATATATACATATAACTTCGCTAATATTCAGTTCTTGAATAGACGCGAGAATTACATATTTTATTGAGACAGGGAACTTTCTAGAACTCAGCTGGCTTACAGAAATCTCATCAATCAGAATACTTGATACAACAGTCTAAGCTTTATTAAAAAGATTGAATAAATATATTTTTTGAATGATTAGTTTTCTGATTTTCTTCGTCCGATAAATGTGATGTCTAAGCTTTATTAAAAAGATTGAACAACAAACATTTTTCGAAAGATTAGTTTTCTGATTTTGTTCGTTTGAGAAATTAGATGATTGTTAGATTATCCAGATTATTTGTCATACGAACATTATCAATAGAATTTAATCGATTGATTAATTTGCTAAAGTGAATAATCTTGAGATCATCTGCAAGTTTTTTGCAATTATAATGTGGCCTTCCAATAACACAACATAGATACTTTTGTTCAGCCACATACACATAACATTAATTTATAAGTGAAAGTTAATCTGGAAAAATCTTAAAATGTTTACGCACAAATTAATAGATATGGAAACTTATGGGGCTCCTTAGCAGCCCTATTCTTCAGGGGGTGCCTCAGGAGCTGGCTCCTCAGCTGGTGGTGCTTCTGCGGCTGATTCCTCAGCAGCTACCGGTGGTTCTTCTTCTGCAGCTGGTGGTTCGGCTTCATGCGAAGCTTCCTCAGCTGGTGGTGGCGGGGGCTCAGAATCGGGATGAGCTTCAGACTGAGGCTCAGGCTCGTGATGAGACTCATGCTGTGAAGGGGGCTGGGTGCCAGCGTGAGAGTCATGCTGGGAACCAGGTTGGACCTCAGCTGCGGCTTCATCCTCGGCGCCCTCTTCTGGCTTGCCTTCCTCAGGACCCCCGATAGTGTCCGGAGCAAAGGCAACCACACTTGGAACAGCAGTGTCTGTCTTTTCAGGCTGAGCCACCTGATCGGTTTCGATAGTGGTTGGCAGCGAAGGACGCTCCTCGCACGGGTCAATTTTCTAAACGGTGAGACGAGTCTTAAGAAGAGTAATGCGGCTTTAAATACCTAAGGACATACCAGCTTCTCCTTTTCGCGTATTAACGTACTGCGGAAGAAGCGCTGAATAATGCGCGCTGCTCTATCCCGACGCAGATCCTCCTCATCCACGACGTCCTCCTGCGATTAAGCTGTGATGAACAAAGGAAACTCAATCGACTATCAAGTATTACCATCATGCAAGTACAGGTGCAAACATGGACGGGCATGGCGCTACGAACGCGATAACCACGCCAGGCCGCCTGTATGGTGGTCGCCGCCTCGTGGCGCATTCGCTCCTCGATGCGCTTCAGTTCGCGATCCCGGAAATATTCGTAGAGTATCTCAGTGCCCTGAGTACCCTCGGCAGCAGCCATATAGGCCTCCACAAAGCGCTTATAGGCACTGTCAATGGCCGGCCGGGACATGGCCATCTCGTCGTCGGTAAAATTGCACTTCTTCAGCAGCTCCTCCAACAAGTCCAGATCTTGGAAGGTGACCAACTGCTTGCCACGCCGCATCTCACAGCGACGTTTCTCCAGGAAGTTGCGGAAGCAATCCTCCATTACCTGAGCCATGATGTCTGTCTTCTCCTTGGACAAATCGCAAATGCACAGATCCGAAATAATGCTGTCCACCTTAATGAGGGCCCGATCCAAAATGGACTTCGCCACTGCAACAGAATATAGTTCGATTAAATGAATTGAAGAACCTCCTGCCATCCATTACCCATTGCCTTCTCACGCGTCACAATCACCGAGTGGAGATAATCGATAATGAATTGGCAGAGACACTCCTTTGTCGGCTGACAACGCAGCACCTCGCGTGTGATGTCCGAAAGGAGTTCGGGCAGTCCTTCCGGCACATTGATCGCCTGTTGGCGAACCTTGCCGCGTTGTATGACGTAATTCATGTTGCTTCTTAAAAATATATCTAATTTTAAACACTCCGAGTATAGTTTAAGGTAAATACCTATTGTTTAAGCAGATAAGATGACATTTGTGACTTGAAAATGTGAGCAACTGTGTTTTTATTCGCCTTCAACTATACTATTTATATTTATTTTAAGGTATACGATATATCAGTTACTGTTATTAAAAAAATTACAAAATAATGATTATTTTTTAATTTTTATGCATTCACTAAAAATTTAATAATTATTACTATTTGAGTATTATTTTTAATATTAACCAATAAGTAGTACTTTTGAACAAACAAAAAAAACTTAGAAAATAATGATTATGCTTTGAATTTAATTTTTTTGATCAAAAATAAAACTCAACCTGTAACTTTAACTTTATCTTAAAAATTAACGATAAAATTTATATATACCCTTACATTAATAATTAAAAAATATAAATCATGGTGAAAATGTATAGATAATCTTTAAAAAAGGATATCTATAAAGACCCCGCTTTCTCAAAGTTGTTATAAGTGAATGATTTTTTCGTTCCTAAATAACAAAATAATCATTATTTGCAGTCCCTGGTATATATTGCTTATTTCCACCACTTACTTTCTTTTTGTCAGCTATTTCTGAATTATGAAAACTTGTTGAAAAACCATTCGAAAAGCACGCAACAAAACATAAATAAAGATAAAGATTTCTTCCATTTGCAACGGCGGCAATAATTTAAAAGAGAACGGCTACGATGTTAATGGTTGCTGTCTTTGCTACATTGCATTGCACGTACCATATGGTGGAAAAACACACCACGTGGTAGCTTATCCAAGACAAACCCTACAAACGGATTTAAATATTTCAAGCATTTTTGTCGCATTTTCCGAAAGATTTTATTGAGAATTTAAACAAAGCTTAAATATATACTTACTTTGTATTATAATATTTAAGCAATTGTTGTAGCCGCTGATGGGAGAATATGGGAGAATAAATTCTAACTAAAACCAAATTCAACTTGAACTTCAGCTAGGAAATCAAAAATTTCAACTGAAATGTGTAACTTTAATAAATATTTACGTATTTTAATATAAAATGTTTTGAATGCTTAAATATATATTTACTTGCTATTATAATATTTAAGCAATTGTTGTAGCCGGTGAAGATGGGAGAATAAATTCTAACTAAAACCAAATTCAACTTGAACTTCAGCTAGGAAATCAAAAATTTTAACTGAAATGTGTAACTTTAATAAACATTTACGGTTTATAATAAAATTAAATGTGATTGAAAAATATGACGCTACTACAGTAAAATATAATTATCATTTCGCCAAAATCCATTTTGTTGCGTTCATATCTGCAATAAAACGTTACATTTTAAATAGTTTTTTCTTAGATTTCGTAATTTCCTGACTTTTATGTATTTTAAACTATTTGTATATACACCTTTAAGCTATAAAATACATAAATAAATTGGGCCTATTTATATTTTTTCTCCAATTCTGTGTTAACGATCGTTTTCTACTTGACCATCGGTGTTCGAGTGTTCTCAAAATCTTGTACTAATTAAGGTATTCCTACAAAATCATAACATACCAACATTTGGAATAAATCAAAAAACATAATAGGATCCTAATGAAAAATTGTATGCGTGCTACTGTATATCTAGTATTCGTGCTTTCAAACAGTCTATATGTAAGTACATATGTTTATATGCAAATGTGTACAGCTGTTTGGATCTGTCGCCGATAAGTAAAGCAAATATATAGCATACCTATATTCTGGGTAAAGCAAAAAAGGGGTCAGTTTAATTCAGATTTTTAAAACAGAAATTGTTGTTTTTTTTTTTAATTGAGTCCGAATAAGTAATTGGAATTGCAGATTTAATTGTTGCTCACTGAGCGGGCAGCTGGCTTTTTGGTACAGTTTTTCCGTAAAGCATTGAACTTCATTCGATTGCAGTAAATGACCCTTTGAATTGGCCCTGGAAACACGCTTGGATTACAAAATTTATGCAAATGTGAAAGGCTCGACATGCAGATACCCTGCTGTTTGAAATTGTATTCTTTAAATTTTAAAGCTGTGTGCAAAGCTTATCTCTCTAGACTTGGCTGTGCGGAGAGCGAACTCGAAAACAACAACCTCTTGTTTGATATAAAAAGTGGTATAAAGCTTTCTCTTTCTCTCTTTCTCTCATTCTTTGATCTCCAGTGCAGAGCTTAAAACTATTAACTGAATAACAAGAAACAACTGAGAATCGTAGAAGGCAAGAATTTTAAAGTTGATGAATTGGAATTTAAGCTATATACTTGTATATTTGTATACTATATTTTCAAATAACTAAGTATTTATATTGTCACCTTGGCATGGAAGTCCATTTGCCTCTTAAAAACCCAGTCATACTTGTATTATAAATAAAGTATGAGGCTTTTTCAAATAGTTTTCATTTCTAGTATATAATGTAGAACAATAAATGTATAGTTGGCCATTAAACTAATATGCCTTATTCTCGTTTGGCTACAGGGTATAACAATAGTTCACAAAATACATAATTTTCCTTGTGTTTCCAGACAAATTCAAAGTCCATACCATTTCGAGTTCTTGTTAATGGAAACAATTTTTCTCTCTCGCCAAATTCAAGAAACAATTAAGCAATTTTGTTGAATGAAATGATGTACAATTATTATGTTACATACATACATCAAATACTCAATGAATAATAATAAATGAAAAATATGAATAATTATTACTTATTATTTTAAAAATTCTGTATTTATTATTTAATCTTTGAATATTTGAAGATAGAAACATATCACAATAGCTATTTCAAAAAATTAGATTATTGATTAAAATTTATTTTGAACGAATGTTGTGACTGTTGACTGATCAAAGAGATTAAAATGTTTTAATGGTTTTTAAAAGTGTTTAAAAATTAAATTGTTCAAAAAGTTCAGTGGAAGCAGCTATTCAAGAAACATAAGGGATGAGAAATGCCTCTAAAAATGTTAAAAGCACCTAATAACTCTATATTTTCTATCTATATTTATCTATCTATATTTTCCACCTATATGTGGTATCTCGCCCACTGTGCGCGATCGTTGGCAAAGTGCCGACCGAAGCATATAAAACAAGTTTCGCCGGCTGTGGGATTGTATGGATTGTTGATGCCGGCCAGTGAGCCGCGAACGCTTCTCCGAGGCAGTCGAGTCCGTCAGTCGGAGCCGTTTCTCTTCGCTTGTTGGAACGCGACAACGACAACGACAACGACAACGAAAGCGAAAGCTTTGTGTGTACAAACAACTTATATATAGAACTAACCAGCCCCCGCTTTATCAGTCGGCAATAACGTTGAAATGAGACAGCTCTTGCGTTGCACCTTGGCCCTGGGTAATGCTGAGGAGCCTTCACACACCTCCAAAAAATTGCGCATTCATTTTTTACGCTTTTATGCCCACTTCCAGCCGGTCAACGCGCTCCCATGGCCTTGAGTGGACAGGGCCGGCGAGGCATTGCCTGTCTGTCCGCCCTGCCGGAGCACTATCAGATGCTGCAGAAGACGTGTCGGGAGTTCGCTAACACGGAGCTGCTGCCGTATGCTGGCCAACGCGATAGGGATCGGTGTTTTCCGCCGGAACTGCCGCGACGTCTGGGCGAACTGGGACTGCTGTCGGTGACCGTGAAGGAGCAGTATGGTAGGACAGGGTTTCTCTCTCTTCAACGAACTTTTAAGCATAGATTTTGTGACATTTCCAGGCGGCGCCGGCTTGGGTTATCTGGCCTATGCCATTGCCATGGAGGAAATTGCTCGCGGAGATGCCGCTCTGGCCATTCTAATGGCCGTGAATAATTTGTATTTGGGTGCAGTGCAGCTACATGGCACCGAAGCGCAGAAGGAGGAGTTCCTTGTGCCCTACACACAGGGCGAGAAAATCGCTTTCTATGCGCTTTCCGAGCCGGGCAATGGCTCGGATGCAGGTGGTGCCTCCACAACGGCCGTGGCTGCCGCAGATGGCAGTGGCTATCTGCTCAATGGCACCAAGGCGTGGATATCGAACTCCAAGGTGGCCAGTGGCGGCCTCATCTTTGCCACCATTGACAAGTCATTGAAGAACAAGGGCATCACAGCTTTCCTGACCCGCAAGGATGTGCCCGGTCTGTCCGTGGGCAAGAGGGAGAGCAAAATGGGCATGCGTGCCTCCTCCACCTGCCAACTAGTGCTGGAAGATGTGCACGTGCCACGACATCAAGTGCTGGGCTCACCGGGTGGCGGCTTTAAGGTAGCCATGCAATCGTTGGACTGCGGACGCATTGGCATTGCTGGCCAGGCCACGGGCATTGCACAGGCGGCCCTCGAGCTGGCCGTGGATTATGCGCAGAAGCGTCAGGCTTTTGGGCAGCCCTTGGGAAAACTGCAGATGGTGCAACAAAAACTGGCGGACATGGCGCTGCGTGTGGAGGCGTCCAGGCTGCTCAGCTGGCGAGCGGGCTGGTTAAAGGATAATGGCCTGCCCATGACCAAGGAGGCGTCCATGGCAAAATTGTATGCGTCCGAAGCCGCCACATTTTGTGCCCATCAGTGCATCCAAATATTGGGTGGTATGGGCTATGTCACTGATATGCCCGCCGAGCTTTATTATCGCAATGCTCGGGTCACCGAAATCTATGAAGGCACCTCCGAAATACAGCGAATTGTGATTGCCAGCGCCATAATTCGGGAGTATGCCAATCAGTAAGAGCTCAGACGGTGCGACTGCAGGGCAGCATTAATTGTAGCGACAAATTTTAAATTTTATTCACATTTGACTCAATCGCTTGTATTGGACTTAATTTTCGTTAAAATGTTCAATTTATAAGCTAGCCACCTAGCGGTCGCACAAACTAGCTTCTGTCAGCTAACACACATCGATAGACTGCATATATGGGTGTAATTTCATTTCCAAAAAAGTTAGGTAGTTTTTATGAACTGTAGCAATAAACTTTTGAATTTATAAAAATTTGAATGCAATTTTAAATCCGGCAAATTACTTCCTGTTGATGTTGGGCTTCATTTTCGTTTTGTACCAACATTGTAAATTGTTTATTATTTAGCCACCTATCGGTCGCTAAAAGCAGTTTTTGTCCACTTACACTTATCGATAGCCCGTAACTAATATGATGTAGCTACCGGCCATCGATTTCCAGTTTTGTCATCTCTAATGCAGCGGAAAGTGTAGGCAGCGGAATAGTTGTTCCTTAAAAATGTCCACGAACTTGTTAAATCTAAATGTGGACGTATTGTTCGAGCAGCACAGTGTACCGGAGATCGATGTGGTGCACAAAAAAATACAAACGGTGGTGGAGAACAAGCGGGAGGAGCTGCGGACCATGGTCGGGTGCGTATGTGGCAATACACAAACAAACAAACATATGCGGCCACTTACAGGCGTTAATCAAATTATTCGTTCAGTCATACTGCATAGAGTAGTTGGACAGCTGTCATGCATTTGGACGCATAGTTTTTTAAGAGAGTGTATGCGCAATAACACGTCAACTTTTGGGCTTTTGTTTACAGCGAGCGCTATCGGGATCTACTGAAGGCTGCTGACACCATAGCGGCCATGCAGACCTCTGCGGGTACGCTTATCGAGCAGGTTCGCTTCATCCATGCCAACTGCCGGAGCCTGAACGAGCAACAGTTGCTCGGTTTCAAAACGACGACGCCGACAGAGGTGTCCGTGCTGGAACGCAAGGCCAACAAACAGCTGACCAACTACTATAGCACGATGGTGCAGATAAAGTTGCTGACGTCGCTGCCAGAGCTAATCTGGACCCATATAGACCATGAGCAGTTCTATGCCGCCACCGAGCTATTTATCTTCAGCCGACACATCAGCACTGGTCTGCAGCTGGATGCGAAGAATGCGTTGATGCAACAGCTGCCGGTGGCGCGCAAGCAGTGGGAGATTCTACGTCCGTTTCATGCGACCATCAAGCAGGCGGTGCTGTTGGTGCTGGAACGGGAGGAGCTCAGCGCTGAAATGGCCGTGGACTGCATGCAGAGCCTGCTCCTCCTAGATAAATGCGATTTGGGCCAAGTGCTGCAAATGTTTCTACAGCTGCGCGCAGCTGCGTTCCTAAACTGCCTGCAGCAGCAGAAAAGTCCAGTTGTCGAGGGAGATAGAAAGCGACGCGTTAAGGAACGAATTTTGGCCAGTCTGCACATATTAAGTGGCACTATGGAGTTGTTGGACAAATGCCTGTTAGGTACGTTTTCGTAGCAGTTCATGCTGCAGATGGTTTCGTTTGTTATAATGTGAAATTTAACTTAAATTTTTCTTTATAGCCGATGGCTTGCTTTTTCGACGTATTGCGGATTGCTTGGAGCCCACAGCACCGCCGAGCATTCAACGGATGGACAGCAGCGAGCGGCAGTTGGCGCATCTGCTGCCCGACATCATAGCCAGCTACAGACCCAAATTTGAAACGCCACAACTGCCGGAAACTAAGCTGCGCGACGCATTAGAAAAGTGGCTGAAGCAGATCGATGAGATGGCGGCCACGCAACTGCAACAGCTATTCGCTTTGGTCAGCAACATGCAGACCATACAGGACATTAAGACAGCGGCGCAGGACAAGCACAAACACAATTGTGCCCATCTGGAACAGCAGCTGAAATTGCCATACTCACTGGATTTCTATGCGCGGAAGTATGTGCCGCTCATAAATGCGCGCGTGCGGGAAATTATATGCAGCAGTTGGACGACGGCCCGGCAGCAGGCGTACGAGCGTGTGTGCCAATTGGTAGCGGAGGCATCGCCACCACAACCCCTAGATATTTGGCGTGAACAGAGCCGCGATTTGCCGCTCAGTCTGGCGGCCGCTCTCAATGATCAGCAGACCAGCAAACATTTGGCGAACCGCACTAAAGGCTATGACGCACCAATCATCAAACTTTGCGCCAATTTCGATGCCCAACTAGCAGCCATTGTGCAGGAACTGAATCTGCTGCTGGACGAGCAGACGTCGCGTGCCGAGGATAAGTTGGCACTTATAGGATTTTTGAGGGAGACGGCACAGCAGCAGCTGACAGAGCTCATTGGCCAGCTTAAGGCGCTGGAGCTGAGCAATAGCCAAGCATTGCTGTGTGCGTTGCGCAGCAGTCTGGCGCTTGTCGAGCTTTGTCCGCATCTGAAGCTCTGCTTCTGTCAACAGAGCAGTTGGCGCCAATGGACAGGCAATCTGACATCCGCTGGCATTGAGCATTGGCAGCGCATGTGCGCTCTCCTGGAGGAGGAAACAATGCAGCTCTGGTTGCGTGTCATCGATAGAGTGCTGGCGACACACAGCTGCGCCGACAAGTTGCCACAAAACATTACACACGATGTGGTGCTAAGAGATTTCCCAGTAAGTGGCAGAAAAAAAACTATGGGTTGATTAGTTTCGTGAATATACACGCACTTTTAAGGACTATAAGATTTTATGTTTCAGTCGATCATTAATTGATTGTTTTGCTTCTTTGCAGCTCTGGCAAACGCATACGTTGGATCAGCGCGACGAGGAGGAACAGGAGTCGGTGGTGCAGTCGACCGTACGCATTCCCAGCCAGCCACGTTTCTCGCTCCAGAACTACCTTTTCCAATTGATACATGAGCTAACTGCCGCTGTGCCCCAAACGTTGCCACCAAAAGTGCAACACGCCTTTAATCAGAAGCTCCTGAAAGATCTACTGACGCATTATCAAGCGCTTGCGGACTCAGAGGGCACGAAGGCTAGTCAGAATATTGCACTGCAGTTGTACTTTGACTTGAAATTCTTGCAGCGAGTGTTTGCTGTAACGCGAGAGAGCCGCACACTCTACGAAGAATTCCAGAGTTTGCAACGCAAGCTGCGCGATTACATCGATCCCTTCGATTTTGAACTCTTCGCTGAGCACATTACGACGCATGTGTCGCGTTCTACGGCTCGTTTGCATGGAGAGTTGGGTGTTCTGACCCCTGCACCACCCCAGGGTAGCCAAACTGCCGCTAGTACCACGGCCTTGGCGCACGAGTCAGATCCCAATGTGTTGTGTCTCAGCTCCTCCGGTTCTACGTCCCTGTGGTTCCCTCTGCTGCCCATTGTCATGCCCCAGGGAGGTTCGGACGCAACAAACTCAGAACGTAAGTTGCTGACAATGGAGTCCGAAAAGGTAATTAAACGAATTTACTTTCTTTTACATTTAAAGGGCACTCTTTCAATTTTACGAATCAGAAGAAATTTATTTCTCTTGAATTTTTTCTCGATTTTAGTCGAATTTTTTTCGGTGTAATAATATGAGGAATCGATTAAATTAAGTCAATTCGGAAACGAAAGAAGACCTTTATATTTTTGTTTAAGTGCTCTTTGCATATGTTTAGGGATAATTGGATTTTTTGAATAGTTGTGTGGCTAAAATCTAGGATATTAGCTGAATCATTTTTCACACTAAGAATTGTTTGCACAACATGTTTAAACCCAATATTATATCCCTACAAAGGATTTTTTTTCTAACATTTTATAACAATTATAATTAAGAATACAATATTATAATATTTTTTATTGATATCTTCAAACGCCAAAATATGTGAAATTTAAGACCCTTTTTTTAAGATTATGATAGTTTCAACTTGGCCCGGGGCCCTTTTAGTTGCAATCAAGGGCAAGGGAGGCGAAGAGCATTTTAAAAATGTTCGGTTTGATCGAATATGATTTTAAGTTATACTTATAAACTTTACTTATTTACATACATTTTTCTCCTAGGATTGCTTTGAATTGTAGTCCATAAAATTATACTCATGGGTAGGATTTGTATTTAAAATGTTGTTGTGTTTGTCGTTCTTTTGCATGTTAATGCCCGGCTTTTAATTTAATCGCTTTAACACAACACTAATAGTTTTCATACAAGTCAATGGATTCTAACAAAAGTGATAATTTTTTGGAAGAACAAGAAAACAATTAGGAGCTTCGGAACCCCAGATGCCGAATTTAGTTTGAAAGTTGTCGGACTTTTCGGAAGTGTAGAAAGTAAATGTAATGATAAAATCGACAGAAAAGAACAGCCGAGCCGGCATTGAAATACCCTTAGAATGAACCGATTTTGATGAAATTTAAAACAAAAGTCGTTCATGTAGCTTTAGAAATGGGGATAAGGAACGGGGGGAAATATATACTCGTACACAAAAACCTTGTTTTGTGAGAGGTGGTACATGACTCCTTTTGTCTGTTACAAAATTTCCACAAACCTGCTATAGGGTATAAAGTAAATAAATTTTTGAGCAACTGATTAACCTATTGGAATGCTTATATATTGGGTTTATAAATGCATTTCCAATTTACGTATAAGCTGATTTCATAAAGTAATTAATGTAAAGCAATTTAAATATTTAGACTTTGAAGCTCTTAATATTTAACTCATATGCTTAGTTTGCTTAAAGTTAATTGAAACACCTTTGAGTGAAGCTGCCTTCCACTTCCCTCGAACTTGCCACATAAGCGCCTTCTTAAGTCTGCTGTCCAATGCTTGCATTTAATATGCCAAAAGATTTTCCTTACCGTCCTGCAGTTTGATGATTATTTGATTAAATTTTAAGAATTTTGATAAAGTAAATAGACTGTCTAGTATTCCATTCATAAATAATGACTGAAGAGATAGGAATTATTGAGTTTATGAATATAATTTCGCTCCAGCTGCATATGCATATACATATGTGTGTGTGTGTTTATAAAGTAAGTCGAGTGACTGCACACCTAAATCTTACCGTAATTGCAAAATTTCGTGAAGCCAACAACAAATACTAAGCATATGCTAAACAAATTTTAATTAACTTGTGCTTCGCAATTCCGAACTTGATGTTTGGCTTCTTGGCATGCCGCCGCCTAGCAGCTGCAAATAATTTCATTTGAGCGAAAGTTTTCGCAGCCAACTTCCCAATTTGGCAACAACGACTACCAGCTACTACTACCATTATTTCTTCTTCCACTTAACGACCAAATGGACTGCCAGTGTGCATGTGTGTGTCTGTGTCTGTTTGTGTGTGTGGGTGTGTGTGTTGATTGTGCGGCTCTCGTCTGATTGGGAGTACGTTAAATGCTAATTAATGAATTGGCCATTATTGAAATCAAATCGAAACGCTAATTTATTGCTGCTGACTTTGTTAATAATGTTTGCCGTTATTCGCATGCCGTGTCATTAGCGCAAATCTGTGATAAATATACATTCGTGTGTGTGTGTGTGTGTGGGTGGGTGCGTGTGTTTGTGCTTATGCTTCCAATTGGCCATAAATCTTGCACTGCGATACAACAAATTAACTGATTAATCACATACAAATTACCTATAAACACGCCTAATTAATTAATAAAGCATATACTACATACATACATATTTATGTGCATGCATATATGTATGTATATCTCTTTATTTCACTCCCAATTGCCTCAACTCAACGATGTCTTCATTGGGCCTGCACCGCTCCTCGTCCTTCGTGCTGCTCGAACAGGCATCCACAACACCCACACGTAAAGCCGCAGCACGCAAAGCGGATGCAAATAAGTCGAAATCGGGCGCTACCTCCTTCTTTGGAATGTCCCAGGAATGGTTTCGCTAGAGCCGCCATCAGCCATCAGCCAACCACCATTCACCATTCGCCATCCGCCAAATGAATCCGAATGAGCCCGCGAGTCAATGAAGTAAATGAAGTGGCGCCCAGTCAAGCGGAAGTCAGCGGCAAAGGAGCGTCAAAGGAGCGGGCGCGTCGACGTGTGTGTAGTCAGCTGTATAATTGTGGCGGCGGCGGTGGCGCTGACGATGACGCTGTGGTGTGGTGTGGTGTGGGAGGTTCTTGGACGCCACCGCCTCTGTTGAATGTTTCATTATTTAAACATGCATTCAAAATGTTAACATTAAATTATTAAACTGAAGTGTAAGTGCAATTCGCACTTAAATTGCAATTGATTTTAATTGACCTGCAAATATGTAAAATATGAAAATTGTTTTGATTACAAAATATATTTATTATTCCGTTTCATTTAACAATTTGACGTGCATTTATCTTAACTTTAGTTTCTACTGTTATGGCTTAATTATTTGCATTTCTCGTGCGGCTACTTTTTGCCGCCCTTCTTGCCGCTCGGTGGCTTCGGGGGTTTTTGTTCGGCTCCTTTTTTGGCACCGCCCTTGTCAACGGCAGCGCCACCACCACCACCACCGCCACCTTTGTTTTTATTGCCGGATTTGTCGCCACCACCGCCGCCAGCGCTGACGCCTTTTTTCTTTAAATAAATAATATGCATAGCTAGATGTTTTATCATATATTTTGTATAGAAACTATTTTTAAATCAAAAATAATGCATGCATTAGCAGATTGTTAGCAAAACAAACTAATTTGTTATTTATAATTTTAGTGCTTATGTTATGTTACAAAATATGTGCAATAAATGGTTCATATTTGAAATTAACATTTCTGTTTTTATCTTTCGACTTTGTGGCCTTTTATGGAACAATGCTTAATTAAGAAGTGTATCCGCGGAAAATTCGATTCCATATAAATCTTTAAAAAGTGAAAAAAGTGCATTCAAAATATTCATATGCCGATCGTGCTTTAAAATAAATATAAAAATAATAAAATAAATTCCTTGCCGGATGCCTATTGAAGTTTTCCGAATGGGGGGCCTATATTTAAACAAAGGACTGGCTTCAAAAATTATTACAACTGTTGAAGAACAAAGCGTCTGTACATTTTAAAAGTTATAAAGAAGAGCAGCGAAGTACTGAAAAGAATTCAGGGGCTATGAAGAGCTTTTTGATATTGTACAATTATAGATTCAACTATTTACAAAGTTTTGGACTCCAACCACAAAAATAACGTTTTTAAATAATTTTGTTGTAGCTTAGAGGATATAAAATGTTTTTAAAAATGTAAACAAAATGTTTTTGAAAATGTTAACAAAATAACTTGAAGGAATAACATTTATTATTGAAAACCAATTGAAGAAGAAGAACATGCAGCCCTTCTGGATGACAATACTTCTTCAATCCTGTTTGTATTTTAAATATTGCACAAAAATTTCGGTCGTACTTGTCTAGGGGGGTTTGAACACATTGGAGACTCATTCAAAGACTTACGAGACTGAAATGAAATATGAAATATTTAAAAACAATACCTAGAAACTAAGTCAGGCAGACTAATTAATTTAAATTAATTGAATTATTTTTGATTTACTTAAACGTGCTTGCACTTCGTTTGTTGTTAGTTTAAAATTCTTTGGCAAACAGTTACATTTGTTTGTTATTTGTTTCTACATATCTATAATGGATTTAGATACGTTTGAACAATTTGAGCGACATTGAAACTTACAATTAAATGAGTTGCAGTTGCATAATACAAATATTGCTTACATTTCCACCACCCCCGGACCCGCCACCACCACCGCCACCACCACCGCCACCTCCTCCGCCACCACCACCACCGCTTTTATTTTTACCCATTCGCTAACTTTTAATGCTGACAGTGGCTAATTATAGTATTTAATTTAAACGCAAACAACTTTCGCGGCAGGTGAATTGCGACTGAAAAGAATCAATTGCAAAAATTAAAATCCATAAATGTATTCGCGAGTGAGTAGAGCGCAATAAATTAGAAGAACAAAACAAAATGCATAACAAGCGAACGAGGAAAATTGCAGCCAATAAACTACTTGACCGTCAGCCCCCATTTTCCACCCACCTCCACCCTCCACTCTCCGTCTCCCTGCACCGCTCACCCTAATCGGGCACATTTTTAGTGGTCGTGTCGAGTATTATGGTTGTGGTCGGAATCCCCCAAGCACCAGCGATGCCGCGGCACTGGCGACTAACAGCTCTTAGCTGATTTAATCATCGCGGCAATCGCACCTCCCTCCCCACCCAACCTCGTCCGCAATCCGTGCACGGGTCGAATGCTTTGGGAACGTTCTCTCGGATTATTTTGCAGTGCTTTGTTTTTGGCTTCTTGTTTTGTAATTATACGCTACACCTGAAAGGTACAAGAATATCTGTGTTAGGTTTGCGGGAAGTGAAAAATGAATAGTGTATATGTTCTTGATCTGCATGGGAAAACGAGTCGATTTGGCACCGTCGGCCGTCTGATCATTTCGATCTCATAGACTACAAGTATATAGGCATAAAGTACAAGTGTATTTCAAAATTGTCCTTCATTCCTCACTCCCTTGCTATTAGCGATTTTTCATAGCTCCCGTAATTATATACGGTTCGTGATTTCAAGTTTTATAATGATAAGTTAATTTGACTGGAAGATATAGCCATATAGAGATTACATTAATCTCTGTCTAAGCCCTGCCCACAGCTGTTGTTGAACAACCTTTACGTGAGTTAAAAACAAATAAAGGTATAATCGGACAATAAAATTGTTGTTAATACAATTTGTTTATTGTTTTTCTTTTTTTAAATTCCTATAATTATTTTACTAAAAGTGGCAAAGTATTTCAAAGTTGTTTTTTATACAATGTTTATTGTTTTTCTTTTAATTAAATTCCTATAAATATTTTACAAAAAGTGGCAGAGTATTTCAAAGTTGTTTTTTATATAATGTTTATTGTTTTTCTTTTTTTAAAATTCCTATATATATTTTAACAAAAGGTACAGAGTATTTCAAAGTTGGGACACCCGACTTTAGCTTTGCCACTAGTTTTTCTATTGCTTTTTTATTTTTTTTTATTTTATGTCTGTACGCCGGACGTTCTGTCGCCATCGCCATCGCCATTGGCATTGACATTGGCTTTCGTGTTTATGCGTTTGGGCGCCAAAGCATGCGAAAATGTTGTGGAAATGTAATGCTGAGAGTAAAGGAATTATATATATGTGTGTATATATGTGTGTGTAGCGTTAAATAAAATCCAATCTGTTGATTCAATTCTGCATTTGTATACGGAATGGCATTGACTAATGCAACTACTACGAGCATTCAAAGCAAAATGTTTATAAATGTTTGCAATTGGATGCGAGTAGTGGCAAAATCAGCAGACTAGGTGATGGCTAATTATAATTGGAGTACGTTCAAATAAGTGCAACTATTTATAAAGGCCTGCACTCAAATTCAACAAAGAAATCAATTAAAAAACTCTTTTCATTGTTATAAAAAATTTTTAATAAATTTCAACAAAATTCGAAGAATTCATAAAGGAATTATGCATTTAAATATTGACCTTTGTTGATCGGCTTAGAGAATAATAAATTTCTGTTTCAAAAATTTTATATTTTATATACAGTTGTTATATTTTTTTTAAATCTGAGAATATATTGGCTGCTCGGTTCCGTTCACATAAACACCTCATAAACGGAGGCTGTTCAAGGCAATTATAAAGCCTGTTTGGATCTATGACATTCAACTATAGAGTGTAGCCCGCCACCCTTTCTAACGTGGAGGCATTGCAGCGAATCCGAACTTTTTCCCTTCACAAATGATTGCTCATGAGTGCAGGCAGACGATAAAATTTCGATTTTGAAGCAGGGCTACAAAAAGTGTTTACTGACCCCTTTCGCCGCTTTCGCTTGATAATCTATAGAAATTGGTGAGCGATCTCAAGCTCAGTAATTTATTTCCATAAAAACATATTCATCGCATCAGATATTATTACATTGAATTCTACGATTTCTGATAGCAACATTGTATAATTAGTTTATATTAAGTATACGTATTATGTAGGTTTGATTCGGATTTTGTTTTAAAAATCCATTCTTATAATTTTTATCCACAAATTAAAAAAAAAGATATATGAAACGCAAGCCTTCAAAGAAGGAAAATGATAGATGAGGTATTTTATTATTGCCAAAGTAGGGTATTATCAATATATTATTTAATACTGCAACTAATAAATAATTGTTTTTTAATATAATCGCTGCAGCACCTCTGAAATATTTGTTAGCCATTCCTAGGTGAGTTTCTGACCATACATGGTGCCCTATAGGTTTATAAAAATGTATTAATATAATTTTAAAAGCAGCTTTGTTTGTTGATAAATAAAGAATAGTACGCTAGAACTAAATAAAGTTTCGCATGACAGCTCCGCGGGTAAGAAAGTCCCAGAAATTTCCTCTTATTCTGCAAATTTGCAGAATTCAGGCTGCACGTAATAAAACTTTGATTGGAAATGAGAAAAAGGATCAATATTTTATTTACTCGTAATATGCTTTTCATTAGTTTTTCTCGTATATAGTATATTTAATCTATAATTTTATATTAGCGAAATCGTTGTTCAGTTTAAGGATGCTGGATGAAATGCCTTTGTGTGCTGGTTTAAGGCAAAAATCACTTATTCCTTTAACCCAAAGCATTCAATGGCTTGCCGCTGGCAGTCCTGCTGAACTCTTTACACATATATCTAAAGGAGTGTAAGAAGTGTGTGTAGGAATGTACAGTGTGTATGCTAATTACGTCAACTGGGTTCCTGAGTTCCTGAGTGCAAAGCTGCCAGAACAACAAATGCCTCATCAGAATACAGATATGCAACTCAATGCATACATAATGAGCCTGTTGAAGGGCGTTCTGAGAAGCAGCCAAGGCTCCTGGACGGTCCATAGTCCAGCGAGCCACCTTTGTCTTTTGCGGTAATCAAATTATATGTTTTAGCTGTGAGCTATAAATGAAACTGATATGCAGTTAGTTGGGAAAAATGAAGCCGGCTCTGTCTAATAGTTGAGCTGCTTAACAAGCGACTTGCTTTTGGGTAACTCAACAAGTTGGAATCTGCATATGGCAAACAAAAAGGAGAAGCCAAGTTATAAAATAAGCTCATAAAACTGCACATATGCGGTAGTGGGTGGGCATGTCAGTCGCCGCAGGTGCTGCGAAACTTGCAGCTGAAAGATAAACCCGAAAAAAGAGTAACTTTACGCACTAACTGGCTGAATGACTGACTGACAGAGGGACAGAGAGACCGCATTTAAACAGAATGAATGGTGTTGCTCGGGACTGACTAAATACACTTACACACACACACACACACACAC